AAGGTTGGCAGTTCATAACCCACCAGCTGCTCCATGGGAGGAAGATGAGGCAATATACTTCTGTAAAGATTTACAGCCTTGGAAACCAATGGGGGTCACTATGAGTCAGAATGAACTCAGTGGCAGTGGGTTTTGTTATGTTTTAATACTTCTTATAAGGAGTCCGGGTGATGTAGTAGTTAAGGGCTTAGCTGCTAACCAAAAGGTTAATGGTTCAAACCCACCAGCAGCTACATGGGAGAAAGATGTGGAGTGTGTTTCTGTAAATATTACAGCCTTGGAAAACCTACGGGATAGTTCTATTCTGTCCTATAGGGTCACTATGAGTTGGAATTGACTCGGTGGTAATGGATTTGATTTTGGGGTTTGATGCTTTTTGCAGTGCAGTTGCTCAGTAAATATTTAATAGGACTATAATGTAAAGTTACTTTTTTTTTTTAGAAGCTTTTAAAATATCAGACCTATTTTCTACTCACTTAGCAAAACAATTATGAATAGGTTTTGGTTTGCTAACTAAATTCATGCCAACTGTGCACCTCCCCTTTTCATGGGGAAATCTGTTTCACAATGCCCAACCATCATGGGAAACCACAGAATCATGAAATAGATATCCTAAACTAAGAAATGTCATATACATGCTTTGTAAAATGCAAAGAGTTATACAAATGAGTGTTTTGCTGTTTTTTTTTTAACTTTGATTAATGGTTAAGATGTTGATAGAAGAGTCAGCACTTGTAGCAACACTATTTTCTTTCACAGAGGAGCTATTTTATGTTATTTTTTGTTCTTTGTTTGCTTATAATGAAAGCCATCTGAATCAGAATTTATACCTTTTTCTTTTTATACGTGTATTTTTTCCTGTGCATCTACATAACCGGTAGAAAAAAAGTTGCCATCTCATGGTGACCCCATGTCTGTCTGAGAATAGCTGTGCTCCACAGGGTTTTCAATAGCTGATTTTCTGGGGAAGTAGATTTCAGGCCTTTCTTCCAAGGTGCCTCTGGGTGGACTAGACCTTCTAACTTTTTGGTGAGCAGCCAAGCGTATTAACCACATCACCCAGGGACTGTTGCACCTACATAGAAAGTAATAGATGATTATATTTCTGTAACATCTATACATTGTCTATATTATGTTCTTTTTAGTTGGCATCAATTTTCACTCACAGCAACCATATGTGACAGAGGAGAACTGCTACATAGGCTGTAATCTATGTTGTAATTGTTACAGTTGAAGACTGACAGATGGGTTCAAATCACTAACCTTTTTGTTAGCAGCTGAGTGCTTAACCATTGGACTACCAAGGTGCCTTAATTGATTACCTATATATTATATGTATTATTGATTACATTGTCTATATCATTATGTCTCTTTACCTCAAATACTTCAGTAGTTATTTCCTCAAAACAAGGACATTCTCTTATACCATGACAGTACTGTTACCAAATTCAGAAACTTAGAAAGGCTAGTCCTTATTTCTAGATCACCCACCAGCCGCTCTGGGGAAGGAAGACAGGGTGATCTACTTCAGTAAAGATTTACAGCCTCGTAAACCCAATGGGGTCGCTATGAATCCGAATAGACTCCATGGCAGATGGCAGTGAGTTCTTTCCTTTTCTTTTTTTTTTTTACAAGAAGCTATAGCTCTGGTTCTGGTAGCTAGTGCCTAAGGCACTTGACTGCTAACCAAAAGGCTGGAGGTTCAAACCCATCAGCCACTCCTTGGAAGGATGATAGGGCAATCTACTTCTGTAGTGATACTGCCTCGGAAACCCAAGGAGAGGTCGTTATGAGCCAAGTCCGACTCCACAGCACATAACAACAACAACAACATAGCTCTGGTGTTGTAAGGCATTGGCTGCTAACCAAAAATGGGGGTGGCTCAAACCCACCAGCCACTCCTTGGAAGATTTACAGCCTTGGAAACCCTTAGGGGGGGTTGCTATGAGTCGGAACCCACTCCATGGCAGTGGTTGAACTCGAACCATATTTTGTGTGTGTCCTCTGGGTTATCCCCAACCCTTACCAACGACTGGCTATGCAAGGCGCTTAACCAACCAGCCACTCCTGGGAAGGAAGATTGGGCAATCTACTTTAGTAGTGATACCCTGTGGGAAACCTAAGGAGGGGTCACTATGAGTCGGAGCCAACCCGACGCAGCAAGTTTCGTTCTTTTGTTTGGAATTAACTATAGGCAAAGGTTTTACGTCAGGGATAGCCGCTAGCTTCGTGACTTCGGTTAAGTTCACGACTCTACGCAGGTGTCCTCATACACAGACCCAGAAGAGGCCATGCTGGTCCCGTTTGCGAAAGCTACCTAGTCTTCTCCCCGAAGCACCTCACCAAGGTCTGTCACCCACTGAACGTCAAAAAACTTCAAGGATCCCAAACCTAACCCCCCCCCCGCAAGTTCTCATAACCCCCACACACCTAAATCCTGGCCCGAGTTCTTTGCCCCCCGCCCCACGCGCACCCGCCTTTCGGGCCGCCCCCGCGCGCCACTGCGCGTCCCTTGCGATAGGTGCAGGCGCGCAGTGGTTGGGCCGCCAAGTCCAGCATGCACCGTACTTCACTGCGAACTGTTGTTATGTGCCCTGGAGTCTTCTTCGATTTATAGCGACCTTACGTACAACGGAACGAAACACTGCCCCACCCGGTGGCAGCTTCATGATGCCTACTACACCCCGAACTACACCCCCCATAATCCCAGTCGGTCGAACCACCTTCCCCTCCGGGTGGGGGGGGGCAGACGTAGCAGGGAGTCCCGAAGAGCGACAGAGCTGCTTGAGCTGTCCTGCCTCTGTCATTCTGAGTAGAGTTTGTTTTAAGAAAGATTCTCGGTTTTCCTAGTAAGACAGGTCACCTGTTCTAATCGGGTAGGAGTCTGCCCTCCGCACCTCCCGAAGACTCCGCAGTATAAGGCGGCAGATGGTCTACTCCAGATGTAACTCTAGCGGAAGCCGAGAAACCTGCGGCGTGAAGGACGGACCGCAGACGCATGCTCATAAAAATACCATGGGGCTGGTAGCCGCTAAACCCCTTCCCCGGGTCTGTGAAGGTGAGTAGGGGTGGAGCGTCTCCCGGGTCGGCGATGACCACGCCTCCTCAATGGCTAGTATAAAGGCAATCACCACCGTCTCAACCAACTCCAAAAGCTGATGACCCCAATTGTTCAGATAATTGGGATCCCTAGAGCTCAGTTTTAGCGTTTACATATCAAAATCCCACTTCCAGTTAAACCATTTCCATCATTTTATTGCTATTGTCTATTTACAAGTCTGTCTCCTGTACTAGGCCGCGTGTTTTAAAAAGGACATCTAATATTTTGGGAAAGTTCACCCTTCCTCTTGGTTTTCCCAACATCTAGCATTGCATCTCCTTCCTAAAGAGCTTGAAGACTTTTGGACCCTTAATTCTATTCAGTTAAGCACCAGACAAGATAAATCCCCAGGCAGTAAATCTTTATGGAAGTAGATTGCTCAGTCTTAGGCAGATTGGTTGGTGGATTTGAACTGCCAACCTTCTGGTTAGCAGTTAAATGCCTTACGCACTACACGACCAGAGCTCCTTATCAGACAAGGTACACATTTGTAATGTTCTCCCATTGTTTCACTTTTGTGGTCTTCTCTAGGAAGCCTCCATGAGACAAGGAAGACCATATCCTAAAGAAATAGCGGTGATGATTTACTTCCTTTGCATTTTCACAGCATCTAGCACCAAGCTAAGCATTGTGCTTAACACATTAACTGTGCTTAACAAATTCTTTTTGGGTCGCATTAAATAAATATAAAATAATTGTGATTAGAATGTAGGGCAGTAGTGGTTTCTCTACTGTAGCTTGCAAGGGAATGAGTCAGAAGGTTAAATCCCATTCAGTACTTCATTCATGAGAATGACACGTTGACACATTAACTTCAACAATGGGCTCAAATACAGCAATTATTGTGAGGATAGCACAGGACCAGCAGGATCAGCAGTGTTTCATTCTGTTGTTGGATAGGGTTAATATGAATCAGAACCAACTCAACAAACAGCACCTAACAACAACATGTATTTGAGTATCCACTATAACACCACATACTGCACTGGGGTTACACTGGTGAACAAAACAATTATGATCCCTGCCTTCATGAAGTTTATAATCCTTTGGGGATACAGACAATTGGGTAGATGTCTTTATTGTGCCCTAACCCTAATCATTTTACTTATGCCATGCTATGTGACCTGTTTATGCTGTAACCTTCTAGAGTTACATTTTCTCATAAAATGAGAAGATTGGATTAGGTGATCTCTAGGAACTTTCCAGCTCTAAAATTCTGTGGTTAGTGAGGAGTAGAATCCAGATTACATCACAATATGTTAATACTAAACATAATCAAATTCTTTTATAAGCATACCTCAGAGATATTGAAGGTTCCAGATCACTGTGATAAAGCGAGTATTTCAATAAAGCAAGTCACATGAATGTTTTGGTTTCCCAGGGCATATAAAAGTTATGTTTATACTTTATTGTAGTCTATTAAGTGTACAATAGAACTATGAAAAAGTTTGAAATATTGTGAGAATTGCCAAAATGTGACAGACATGTAGTGAGCACATGCTGTTAGAAAAATGGTGCTGATAGACATGCTTGACACAGGGATGTGAAAAATCTTCAATTTGTTAAAAAAAAAAAAAAAATCTACAAAGTGCAATAAAACAAGTTATGCCTGTTACAGATATAAGAATCTGGGCAGCAGTGTCAGAAAGAACTACCCCTTATTATACTTGTAATTTCATATGCTATCCTTGGAAGGAAGGTTGGGCAATCTACTTCCGTTGTGATACCACCTCAGAAACCCAGGGAGGGGGTCGCTATGAGTTGGATCTGACTCGATGGCAACGAGTGAGTGATCTTCCCTACTGCTGAAGATATGAAATTAACTGATATTGCAGCTTTGTTCAGCTTACATTTTTTGTTGTTTTATAGATCATTGCTAGGAAGAACTCCGGGTACAATAATGAACCCAATGTGCTTGATGATGGCTCACATCTTAAGATCTCACCTGATAAATGCCACAGCGATTTCTAATCAAATGAAAATGCTTTCATATCTTGGTGTCATTAGGTATAGAATGATGTCAACCCACAAATCCCAAAAGATCAGAGAATATTATAGGCTGTTGAATCTTGATGAAGAATGCTCTGCGGATGATGTCAGAGAATCTTTTCGTAAGCTTGCCAAGCAATACCATCCAGACAGTGGCTCTAGTACAGCTGATTCTGCAACATTTATAAGAATTGAAGAAGCTTATAGGAATGTGCTTTCCTATGTGATAGAACAAACAAATGCCAGACAGAATAAAGCTGAAGATGAGGAAGAAGATAAATTCAAATATAAAACTCCCCAACACCGGCATTATTTAAGTTTTGAAGGTATTGGTTTGGGAACTCCAAGTCAACGAGAGAAGCAATATAGGCAATTTAGAGCAGACCGTGCAACTGAGCAAGTGATGGAATATCAAAAGCATAAACTGTATAGCCAACACTTTGCTGATAGTATAATTGTTAAAGATGTAAGAGAGAGTAAAAAGCAAAAGATAACACAAGCAATTGAGCGTTTAGTGGAGGACCTCATTCAGGAATCAATGGCAAAAGGAGACTTTGACAATCTCAGTGGGAAAGGAAAACCTCTAAACAAATTTTCTGGCTGTTCATATATTGATCCTATGACTCACAACCTGAATAGAATATTGATAGATAATGGATATCAGCCAGAATGGATACTAATGCAAAAGGAAATAAAGGATACCATTGACCAACTCAGAGAGGCAATCTTAGTGTCAAGAAAAAAACTTGGGAATCCAATAACACCAACTGAACAGAAACAGTGGAATCAAGTATGTGAGCAATTTCGAGAAAACATCAGAAAACTAAACAAACGAATTGATGATTTTAATTTAATTGTGCCCCTCCTGACCAGGCAAAAAGTCCATTTTGATGCACAGAAAGAAATTGTCAGGGCCCAGAAAATATATGAAACTCTTATAGAAACAGAAGAAGTCACAGATAAAAACCCAAATGTCATTGATCAGGGAGAAGGGGAGAAAGTACCTGAAGCCACGACAGGTTTTTTTAAATGGATGAATTTGTGGAAATTTATTAAAATATGACCATTCTAATATTTACCATCACAGTACCATCCCAAATCATTTTCGGTTGCACTAACATCACAGAGAGGTTGGAATTTAACAACTATGTGTCTCTACACTTTTCACCAAACTAAGCAGATCCCCAGTGATGTGTGAGGAAGCTGTAAGTAAAAGAATCAGAGAAATTTTCAACTACAGCTTTGCTCTGATAGCAAGAAAATAAAAGAACTTACCTTTAAGTCTGAACAAAACAACTTAATACATTACAGAGTTTCAGTGTTATCAGGTGAAATGAGCTAGGATGGCTACTCAGACTTGGGAACCATACAGGCTACCACAAAATCATAAGTGCAGTTTTAAGTTCTAATAACAGTTACTATATGCCATCTTCAAACACAGGTACTAAAATAAAAAACACACACAAAAAACTAAATATCGAAGTCACAAAATTAAGAAGTATAATGAAACTTAAGCAATTAAACTTCCAAACAATATATGTTTTTTTGTAAGTTTGCAGGATTTATGCTCCTGAGGTTATTAAAGCTTAAACTGTACTAAGACTTTTGGGACACCATCTATGTGGGAGGAAATTTTAAGATCAGGAAATTCGCTGAATGGAGTTACTATACTTTTCTTTCTATAATACACCTTTTCTGTGGCTGCTAAATGGAAAAACCACATGTATATGTGTGTACAGCTGATTTGTACTTTTCTCTCTCTTTATGACTCATTGGCTTTAGAAATTGATCAACCAAGCTAGTTGACTTAGCTACTCTAAAAACAAATGCCATTACCACTTTCAAAGAGTTTGAGTGGATTTTTAACCTTTCAGAGGTGAAAAAAAATCCTTGGGTTCAATGGAAATTTAGGATTTCACTTCAAGCTTCATCTTTAATCGGAAATTGAAATGTTAGATTTCCCTAAGCCTCCCTATGTCACGTGCAGGCATACCTCAGTTTATTGTGCTTCACTTTATTCCATTTCACAGATAACTGCATTTTTTATGAATTGAAGATTTGTGGCAACCCTGCATCGAGCAAGTCTTTTAGCACCATTTTTCCAACAGTACATGCTTACTTAGTGTCTCTGTATCACATTTTGGTAGTTCTCACAATATTTCAAACTTTTTCTTAATGCTATTGCACACTTAATAGATTATAGTATACTGTAAACAACTTTTTATGCACTGAGAAACAAAAAATAAATTCATGTGACTTGCTTTATTGCAATATTTGCTTTACTGCAGTGGTCTGGAACTGACCTGCAATATCTCTGAGATATGCCTGTATCAGACTCCTCAGAGACGTTTTCAGCCATATGAAAATCCCAATTAACTGTTTTTTTGTTGTTGTTGTTACGTGCCGTCGAGTCGGACCTGACTCATAGCGACCCCTTCTTGGGTTTCCAAGGCAGTATCACTACAGAAGTAGATTGCCCCATCTTTCTTCCAAGGAGTGGCTGGTGGGTTAACTGTCTTAGGAACACTTTAATAAAGATGTCTTAATTTTTTGCCAATGTATATCTTTGGCATATGACAAGATATTGATACTCATGGGATTGTTGTGTCCCATCAATTTTCAGAAAATCTGACATTTCAGGTTTGGATAACTTTTCTCCACCAAGAATTGGGCAATTAAATGTGAGGTACAGACAACAAAGATGAACCCTTTTCCACATACAGTATTGCATTGTCAGTGAAGGCAAACATTGATCTACGGGTGAATAGATGGGTAGACAGCCTGAACCATTAGGTATGTCTATGCAGTGGGGAGTGTGCCCATGACCATTTATAGGGTTGGCAGGCAATGTTTCTTCAAGTGTATTTGTATATTCTGTAAGCATTCCCAGGTATATAGTGGAGCTGACAGGAGACAAGGTTGTAATCACTTCTTGGCCATAGCCAGCTACCTAGAGGGAGCGAGTAGCTGGACTAGTGGGCTCCGGACCATAGTCATAGGGGACATCAAGCTCAATTGGCATAGCATACTACATGAGTAGCGGCTGGGATCTTGAAAGCTTGCAAGTGGCCATCTAGATGCAACGATGAGTCACTCCTTATCCAGCAAACAAGAGTGAAGAAAACCAAAGGCGCATGGAAAAATTAGTCTAAGGGACTGGTACACCATGCTATCCTCAGCCTATATGACTATGAGACCAGAGGAACTAGTGTTGCCTGGCTACCACTGTCAATCACTGGGGGGCGGG